TCCTTGAGCAGAAGGATAAACGACTGGAGCAGGACACGGCAAATCCTGGGCGTGATCAATGAAGAGAGACGGAGACTTAGAACAAAAGCACATAGAAAATTTAATTTGGTTGCGGTCAGGAAGCTAATTACGATACATGCACTCTGCACAATGATCGCTTCTGTAATATTGGGTATAACGCTTTCGAAGAACGGGTTCACATATCTAGGTTTACGGATGCTTATAGGGAGTATTCACTGGACGCCATATTTGTGGGTGCTGTTTAGAGCGCACGCTCAGAACGAGCTCACATCAATAGGCTGCTAAGACCGGCTCTCTTGATGGTGCGGAATGCACGTTGCAAGAGAACTGTGGAAGCTCGCCATCAGCACGCGCCACGGTGCACGCGCTCAGCATTCGCGCACACAGCGATGGCCGCCAGTGAATACTCCCTATACAATCACTAGTAAAGCTACTACCATTAACCGAATCAAAATATGCTAAAGTTCAAAAAGTAACGGCGAGTGCGAAAAGTCTAATCTGCCTGGACGGGAGAGGCGAGCGCAAAGGAACCACCGAGCGAGGTGCCGAGAGACACTTCCCGCACGCGTCGTCGGGGAATCCGAAGAAGGGCGGAGGACTCTGGGAAATCAGGCGGCAGCTCACGCCGTCAGACACTCCTTCCCCGGCCTCAGCATACTACCCTTGCCGTTTACGTGACAATAAGAACTAAATTTCTTTATGAACCGAAGTAGGCTATAAGACTAATTTCGTCACAAAAAGAACTGAAATTGTGGGCGCTTGTAGGATTTAGTTCAGTAAAAAACACTCGTCAGCAAGAAAGAGGATATTGCTTCCTTTCTCGCTGACAAGTATCGTTTTCACTGTAATAGGTTATAGCCAGCCGGCAACAGCCAGGCGGCGCCAGCAGAGTGAGAGCCCACGGTCATACCCTGCCTCGTTCTAACTTGACAAAGGGTGAACGATAGGCCCCACATTGCGTGCCGAAGGCTTCGAAATGCGCGACGTATACGAGCGCAACGCACACATATTGGAGCATGACGCAGCGAAAAGCCTGATACTTCTTCGGAGTAGAGGCGTGCTCCGGTGATACGCAGTCACGTTCCCATTGGCCCGCCAGGGCCGTAGCTTCCGCTGTTCTGGCATGTTGCGCGATCACGGCTTCCTGGGATACCCAGTATTTCTTGCTTCAGACACTAATCTAAGCGGCGCCACCAGAGTAATAGCTCACGTTTGAACAATGCAGCCGTCACTCCCAGGGGTATCCAATATTTCTTGCTTCAGTCGCTTGATGGCGCCAAACCAAACAGCATTGCAGGCTGCCTATACAGGCGCCCACAGTGTAATTCCTTGTTTTGACGATATTATCTATACGGCTCATATAGAGACGTTTAATTTTTCTCAATTCTCGTTTGATCCAGGTAATATAATATTTTCAAACTTTCGCGTTCTAATGCCAACCGCTGCAGCGTCACATTCCCGCGGAGTTTGAGATTTCTTCGGTGCAGTTGATTCAACCTGGCCGTGAAACACGGTTTTCTTTTTTCGAGAACTTTCCGTAAATGTTCTCGAGGGATCCCGAGCCCGAAACGGCGTAGTTGACGCATACGCGCTATAGTTTTAGCTATATGTATACGTATACACATATCTTGGTGGCGAACAAGGTGCCTGTATCTACGGAGCAGCGGTGCGCATATAGTCAAATTTCTGGCGAAGGAAAAACCAGCTGAAATTTTGAGAAGGTTGCAAGCGCAGTATATACGGGAACAAAACCACGCCACGGATCAAAAGTGTGCGCATGGTGTTAACAGTTACGAGAGGGACAACAGCTGGCAGCAAATGAACCGCACGCGTTCGACCGCTTTCACGCGCTGGTGCCCCATACATGTAGGCAGGTGCAGCGTGCGCGTGAACGTAGCTTTGGCAAGCTTGCAATCGCCCGCACGAGCAGAGACATGGCGGCGGCCAGATGCCCTGTTTGCAATCGTCTATACGCCGAAGGAATCGGGAAGCAGCCGAAGCGATGGCAGCTGACACCGACGCAGTTTCGCGCTTGTCGGATTCCTCTGTAGGAATGAGAGGATCAACATTGAAAGGCCCTCGCACTTGCTGATTTAATTAATTGTGCGGTAGTTTTTTTTATATCACCCGGGTGGTCTTTCCTCGCTTGTTAACCACATAACTGCTCTAGGGTTACCTAGATTCTTTTAGGAAAAATATAACAAATAATATTTTCCACTACGTTTTTGCTGTCTTCGAGATCGATGTTAAAGAACTAAAAATGTTGAAGAAGGAGCGTTTTGCTCTATGAATGTTGTGCAAGTCAACGCATTTTATGATAAAGACTTTCTGCCAACCGGCTCTCACCAAGTTTCCGACCACCGAATAATTATGGTAATATAAACACCTGACTTTTTTTAAAATCTCAGTGCTTTGATTTAATCAGGGTTTCAGGCTTACAAGAAATGGTACAGTCATGTCTCGTTAATACTATACATGAGCGACACTCATTATGGACGCTTCTTGGGGAAACGAAGCTGTCCATTTATTAACGAGACATCACAGTAGTGATGTCATTTGAAATGAGGAAAAAAAAAAAGCTAATTTAATATTTTCCGCTGTGGCCGTGCAGCAATGAACAATTTCGCACCGATTAACCTTCGATCGATTATTTAGTCTAATATGGAGGCTACTAGAATTGCTAAAGTATCGTGACATTCCAACATTTATGCACTCAATCGCCATGGGATTTGCGAACTCTTCGCAACCCAGAAACGCTAAGAACGTTTTTAGAACGCCATTTTATTTATTGGTTTCTTCTAGATACGTTCGAGTGCCTCGGATTTATGACAGAGAGCGAGGTGAACAGAAAGGGAATATATTTACGGTTTTCTTTTTACTAATGTTCAATAGCCAGGTACGAAGTTCTGTAGAAGTAAGTGAATTATGAAACAAGCTCGTATGCTGATCCCACAGCCCCCATACTGTGGGCCGTAGCGAGCCAAATACTAAGTACTATAAAAGTAATAAGAAGGGGGGGGGGGGGGGGGGGGGTTGCGCCGAGCGGCATCTGGACAAGACCCCCGAGCACGCAAGAAACTTTCAGACTCCTGGACACGCGGGTTCGCCCCTCTCACCTGTATTTTTTTTCTTTTATTCCAGCACTGTGTGCGTGTTTTACGATTGAGAAGTTAATTATAGCATTGTTTTCTAAACCTGTAATTTTTTTCTTATTTTTTTCGCACGATTGAAAAGTTGCTTGCAGCATATGTGCATTTTTGGAATAACCGCGCACCGGCCAACTGGAGGCTCCGTTCGCAAGAACTGAGCGCCATGGAGGCGCGTGCCGTGAACACGTGCGACGCAGCTATGGCTGTCGTTTACCAAGAATAATAACCAACATGCCGAACAGTAACCGACCCAACGTTCTGCAACTTTGTCGTGAAGGTGCCGCAAACCTGCCATCCTTCGTGATACCCTACTGTACATTATCATTGCCCCCCCCCCCCCCCCCCCCCTTTCATATCTCGCTCTATATTACCAATATCATTCGCTACACAGGCATTTATTCTACGGGCTGCATGTCTAAAGGCCTGTTCACACATGCAGCGGAGCGCTCCAAGCATAGCGCTGACCTCCCGCTAAGCGCGTGCTGACGGCAGCGTTCACCAGCTTTGTATCGCACCGTCAAAACTGTTGCTCATGGCAGACGGCAAGTAGCTGACGGCACGTGAGCAGCGCTACATCAGCGCTTCGCTGCATGTGTGAACCGGTCTTTACTGTGGCGCCTGCACTCGCGAGCGGAAATAAATACCCGCATTTTTTTACGATTGAGAAGTCAGTCAGCGTTGTACGCGCGCGTCAACATTTTTGTTGCCTTTTTTTTTTTCTCTTTACTTTTAAATTAAAGAAGCTATATGTGAGATCTGTTCTTTTGCTTAAGTGCCGCGTTGATTTTTAATTTTTTTCCCCCTTTTAGAACATAACGTTTGTCATTTTCCAAACAACGCCTCCGACTCCTTCTTCGCTCCTCACAGAATCCGTCCACCAGGGCGTGGACCTACCTACCGCCCGGTCAACGGTCCTATCAAAATGTAAATTTTTTCTTCACGAACCTGTAACACTGATTACTTCTCAAAAGACGGGGACGACACTCTGGGGTGTCCGCGTAGATAGAGTATGGGGCGTAAAAATAATTTAATGGCATCCTGGTTGACGCTGGACAAAGCAGGATTTCACGTTTAAAGCTAAACGTCTCAGATGATGCGCAATTCTGCGAACGAACTAAAAAAAACTTGCCGAACTTTACCGCGTCGCGCGGGAGCATAATGTCTGCTGAGCAACATGCGTGGAACAAAAACGTTGTTGTAGTTTTCAAGGTTTGTAAGTTTCCTCACCCTCAGTCCTGTCCACTGGCCGAAGAATAGTAACCCACGCAAAGGACAACGGGGTTTTAATCTACCCGATCATGGGCAGAATTTTGCAATCAAGACGCCGTATCTATTGGGTCTACAATTTACCATTTCGTTTCGCCTGACATTTTAAGAGTAATTCGGCGAGATTCAGCCAAAAAAAAAACGGAACTATTTAGCCGTCAGATTTTGAGAAAGCGCGAGCCTAGATTGCCACAGGCTATGGCGACATCGTTACACAGGTACGATCGCTAGCCTGAGGATATTTAAAGTGTATCACGCAGTAGTGATACAGGACCTCACGTGCCGGTACGATTCTGATCCAGATCGAAACGGGCAGGTGCGGAGATAGAACCCTGGATACCATGGGTTCTGCAACGAGAGTTCTGCTCCACATCCTCCGAACGCCCCTGATCCCCCCCCCCCCCCCCCCCCCTTTTCTCCCAAGTTTGAGTCCAGTCTTCGGGACTGATGCATGATATCAGCCAAACCAGACGAAAGCTAAGATATCACTGTCCACCCCAAGAATGAACCTCCCAGGAAGAGGTCAAAATCACGCGACCCGAGCGAGTAAGTGATCGATCTAACCTCCGGCACAGTCCAGGCAGCGTCGTGGTGGTAGTCCAGGCAGCCTGTCCGAAAAACACGGCCGAGAGGTCATCGCTTGACGGCGGGCTCGGCAACAGCGTCGCCATCTTCGTCACTCGAGTAGCAGACGACCGTCTGATTCCGCCGCCGTCGCCTGCTACTTTCCCGTTTCGGGAAGGGCAAGCGAGAGAACGAGGAGGAAACGCGCGCCCCCTCTCTCAAAACGCATACTGACGTCACGACCAATGGGAGCGCCACGCGTCGTGACGTCACGAACCCCGCTCGTCCAACCGGAACGCTGCACGAGAGCGCCACGCGACACGTACGCGCGTGGAGAGGAGGAGGCGGCGGCGGCGCAGCTAAACCGAAACCAAATACGAAAACGAAACCAAAACTAAACAAAAGCAGACCGCGTCGACTTCGCACGCGCGTGCGTGCGGGCCGCGCACGCGAACGGAGCGCGCGAAACTCGCGTTCGGAGCACGTGGCTCGACGCGTGCTCGTCGTATCGACCAATGAGGCCTGCCTTTCGCGGTTTCCTCGCGTGTGCTCGGCCAATCGGAGGAGTCGATGGACACTTTTTCGTATATATATATATCTCCGAGATGTGAGCACCGTACGGGTTTTTCTGTTCGTCGGTTGCGGAGAGCCGACACTGGGTAAGATTGATTGGGTTGCCATTTGGCTCCGAGCGATTTCTCGCGGGGCGCTCGTAGCTGTATTGCCAGCCCAAGGCCTGCTTATTGGAATAAATCAAAACCCGTTCTTAACAACGTCGTCGTGTGTTCCTCCGCAGATATCGGGCCGTAATGCTGGCGGGGACGGATATTTTGCTTTTTTTCGTGCTTGTTTTTGCGTCGAATTCTGCACACCGCCATTTAGAGCCTATCAGTTCGTGCCGTTGACTTTTACTCATTGAAGGTCGCAACAGGAAAAGAGAGACAAGATATGCAATAAAACAAAACGTCGGTTTGCGAAAGAAGAGTGAAGAGGCCTAAATGCAACGCTAAGTTGCGTCAGCAGGACAACCAAGTTCGAGGGTCTTTTTAATATCAATATTTTATGCAGGATGCGTAATAATAAAAGTACTGCCCGAGGTAAAAAGAAAAATATCTAGAATTTTTATTTTAACGTTTACTAAATCCTGTTACTTTGAAATCGGGTTCTAGCAGCGCTTGAG